GGAATTCGTGAAAGAGTTTGTAAGTTTTTATATTGAAAAGAACAAGTATTTACATAATTTATGCTAGTATGATATAATTCAAAAAAGAAAATTTTAATTTGGTGTTGATTATTTTTCTCACATGTTTGAAAAATTAATTTTTCGAAGGGACTTTATACAGAATACTGGTTGCTAATGGCAATCCCGTTAGCCCTTAGCACGCCATGGTCAATTACTAGCTAGTTTGATTTTTGTGAACTCTATTCTCACGTCTGTTATTTATGGGTCTCGTACCTACGTCTGTTTCATGGTTTCGACCACGTCTGGTTAGTTATCCTTGTGGATTGTGTGTCCACGTTTGTTTCATGGCTTCAGCTACATCTAGTTACTTACCTTTGTGGACTGTATGTCCATGTTTGTCTTCGTGGCATAAGCTGCGTCTGGTTATTTGCCCTCATGGACTGTGTGTCCACATTTGTTAATTATTCTAATAAATCTCTATAAATATGAATTTGATTATTTAATGATTTCATATCCCGTTGGTTTTAATTAGCAATATATTTTTAACTACTTATTTTGTTTATTTGTTTCCTTGAAATTAAGCTATGACAATATTTGATATGATAATTTAATAGTTCAAGATTTCATTTAAAGTTATATAGAATCCTTTTGTTCCGCATTTATTTGAATCTTTATGGAGATTGTTGTTTTTTTAACTTACTAATTGTTTTTAACTTTTCATTTATTCATATTTAATTATTTATTATTGGGACGTTATTCACTGAAAATAATTTTGGTCTCAGATAGTGTAGCTAACATTTAACTAGCTGTCAAATATTGAGGAGTCTATTACTGACTAGAGGTGGATGAGCTAAGGATTAAGTATTCTTTTGATGTAATTTTTTAATTATAAAATTTTATTTTGTAAGCTTATTTTAGGTGCTCCACATAGTCTATAGCTAGAACTTTTATTTTGTTATATATTCTACTTGGTGGTTGAAAGGAGCTGAACTCCTGATTAAGATGATATTTTGTGCAAAATATTATGTTGTAGATTTTTGAGAGATCCTGTTTAGAGAGGACATTCTGTTAAAATTTTTACAAAAATATTGAAGCTTATATTAATACCAAAAATGTTTATGCATGCTCTAATTCAAACTAAAACATAATTAGGTCTTAGTCATAGAAAGATTAACTAATTCAAAGCTTGAGGGATGTGTGGTGGTTCACATCCTGTGCCGGTTACCCTCTATTTTTGAGGTATGATACCTACTTTTAATTATATGATCTTTCAAAATATAAGAATTAAAAAAAGAAAAAAAAAGAGCACTCAAGATTTAAAAATAGATGGTTCACTGTTCATACAAAATCTTTAAAAGTCTTGTGATATGGTGCATTATGGACCTAGTAATTATTTAAACGGGCAGGATTTTAAGATTATGAGAGACAATGAGAAATGGAATGCTAAGAGGATCCAGCTCCCTTCATGTGTTGTGCCTTGTGATGTGCAGACTCAGTTTGATGGTTTTGAAGGTGATTGTTAAATAAGTATTCCCATCTCTACATATTTGATGGTGCTTCACTTAACCATCAAATATAAGTTGTCATATATGAATAATTTTGTAATATTGAAAGGGCTAAATTTTGCTATAAAAAAAAAAGAAAGGACTAATTTAATGATAGTTTTATATGTTTTGTAAATTTTCCACTTTTTAAAGATTTCTTGCAAAACTGAGCTTAAGTAATAATGAAAGCAAGAAGGTAGTTGAATCAAAATCTAAACAAATTTTAAAGAATCAGTTGAAAAGTTTTCAACAATGGTGAATGAATTCTCAAAATAGAGATTGTGAAAAATAATTGTTAGAACCAAGTTTTCCAGAAAGCACAGGGAAAACAATAATAAACTATTTGATCTCTTATGAAAATCGCCCTTGGGATGCAAGAGGAGAATTTATTCGCAGCTGATTTCACTATCCAGTTTTGCTAAATCTTCTATTTGATATCTTACACCCTTTTTCTCAATTTTGGCTTCCCTTTATCTGATTTATTTTCTTCTTTGATCTTCAATGTAATATTTTACTACATGCCATATATGGGAAGGGAACTTCCGAAGCCTTTGACAACTATTTAAAATATATTTAGAGATGTAATGGGAAGTTTATTTTTGCATATACTCATTTGGTCTCATTTATAGGATGGAGGGAGAAGGTATTTGTTTTGGTCATATTTTTAAGGTACTTCAATAATTATTGTGTCCATCTTTATCTCTTTTTCCCTATTAAATGTTATAAAGGTTTTTTAAATATTAGAGTATTTTATGTTTAAAGGTTGCATATTTAGTAGGGATAAAGTTAGAAACTTGTTAAATTTTTATACTAAGAAGGTTTAAAAGATTTTCTTTGGGTTTGGTGAAAATGGTGGAAATGACTTATAAATCAGATCTCATATATATAGTAAACATTGGGAAATCGATGATGAGCAAAATCCTTCTTTGATTAGCACTTAGTTGTTTTTCCAGATTTAGTTGTTTTGAGATTCTACTTGTTTCCCCTGTTTTTAACTATCGTCCATTTTCCCCTATTTTGCTACGTGTACGTTGCTCATTTTCATTGTGTTTTTACATTGTTATGCTTATTCTACTCTGTTTTTAATTTGATATTCCCCTGTTAGTGGGTGTGATGAGCAAAATTAATACATTTTGTTTTAGGTTGGGGTTGAAATTTGCAAATTTGACTGTTTTGACCACTGTTTCAATTTTTCAATAGTTTTTATGAATTTTTGTTGTATTTTTCATATTTAATTTTCATTTTTTTTTTCCTTTGTTGGTTCTTGAGCTTTTCTTGGCTTCTTTGTTTGGTATCCGATGACTTGGAATGCTAGATTGTACTTATTTTAAGTTCAAACAAATTACAGTGTTTTATAATTAGAAAAGAAAATTAACTCAATGAGATCCGTGGTGTTTTTTTAAATCTCATAGCAGTAAGCTTGTATATTACCTGTATTTGTGTTTTCGACTTTTTATCATTTGGCCCAAGTTTCTCCTTCTACTGCTACTTTGTATCTTCCCTGTTAAGGATATGTTGGGATTGTATTTTGTCCATTTAATATTATAAGATATTTTTAATCAAATAACAATCTTTATAATGAATTTAGCTAATTATTTTTAAAATTACACACTTTTTTCATGTCTACCCTTGTTTAATTAGGTGTTTCAATTAGAAAACATTATTAATTATACCTCATTAATTGCACTTTGAAAGACCCATAATACTTTATATTTTTAAAATCTCACCTTAAAAAAATGCTTTATATTTTTTTTCACAGAAGAGGCAGTATTAAATATTGTTAATATTCTCCTCCTGGTAGCTAATCGTATCATTGACTAGGTTTAGTTTGCTGATTCTGTTATGATTGTACAACTGCTACATAAACTCCTGTTCTATGTATTAATGAATTAAGCTAACGCCTTTGACTTCTGAATACTTTTGAATTTTACAAATAAAAAATATAAAGATACTTTTAGGAGTGTTTTCTCTTAAGAAACGATTCCATAAATTGATCTGTTTTTAAAGAAAATAAAAATTTTCGTTGGAGGAGTGTTTGTCAAAATATATGTTCCCACACATTAAAAAACCAGAGAATACAAAGAAAATGGTATATAGGAATGTTTTAGTGTTCAAAAATCTCCCGAATGTATAATTTATGGAAACCTTTATTTGTTTTTTTTTTCCTTTTGAATCAGGGGTACCTTTATATTTTAAAATTCTGGTCATATATATGAGGATGTTTTTTCCAAAAAAAATTCCATATATGCAATCTCATAACCTATTTTTCTACTAATTTCCAAGTTTGAAAGCACAACTAAGAAAACACCATATACTTCATGAAGTCCAACACTAAATCACAATGAGTGTGATGAGAAGTTAATCCTCAAATTCACCATAAAAATAAGCTTCAATTACAGTAACCAACTAAAACAACCTTTTAGTCACAGAAAAAGCAGCCTTGCCAAGAGAAACCTGCTAGCAGGGGAAAAAAACCTTTATAGTTGACTATTATGATCATCAAATTTTCAGTTAAACTATACATGGTAAACAAAATAAAAAGGCTTCAATTATAGTTAAATTTGAATTGCATGGAGATTTCTTTATTCTTATACATGGCCTGGCTTACATGCATGATAGATCAAACAAACGGCTGTGGATGACACATTTGGATCACTGATTTCTTTCTCACAAAAATAGTTTTGATTATGAAACCATGGTGGCACTTCACTACCTTGAATTGTCAATACACGACTATATTGCTTGAAGAAGTCAGGCTGTGATTTAAAAAAAATTGTTTGAATAAGAAGTATAATAATTAAAATGTAAGAAATGGAAAATATATACAAGTCAAATATATAGAGATTCAATGTCCAGGGGGGAAAACCAAAAAAAATCAAAATTCAAGTAATTCAAAAAATAAAAAATGCTCACAATTTGTAAATCTTGTGTAAGGATTCCATACTCCTGAAATTGATAACCTATACATAAGGAAAAAATGGCTATAAAGAAGTATAATGATTAGTGTGAAAGAACAAGTAAAGACAAACAAAATAAACCTGAGATTGGGATGATTCACTGAACTCCCATAGCTTCTGCGAACACATGTAATGCTCCATCGATGGACAACCGCTTGTGAGAATGGTTGATAGATTTGACGGAAGTTGTGGCAAGGACCGAAACGTAGGGCAATTAACAATATCAAAAAATAGAAGCTTGGAAAGATTGGAAATGAGGCGAGATGGTAAGTTAATGAAATTGTTTCCACTTAAAATTAAATGTGTCAATGATGATAACATGCTTATGTCATCTGGAAGTGATCCATCATGAAGTTTGCAATAACCTAAATTTAATTGGCTCAAGAATGATAAAGAAATGGGTACCATAAAATTTGTTGAGCTTAAAGGCCTTTGAACCCCAAATGACTTCCTGAAAAGGGACACGCAACTCCATGGTGGTGAAGAAATTCGACCCACATCAAGCACTTCCAAAAGTCCCATTTTCATTCAAATCCTCTGGCATCCTTGAAAGGTTTGACCAACCCAAAATTTTGATAATCTCCCTAGCTATGAATTTACGAACATTATTTGGAGGGCAAACAAGATTTGTGCAACCCGTCAAATTTAATTCAACAAGACCAATCAAATTGCCTAATGATTCAGGTAGTTTGGATATAGCAGTGTTCTCTAAATCAAGTGTAGAGAGACATTTCATATCCCTTTCAAACTCAGGAAGTTTTCTAATTTTTGAACAACCAAATAGAGCAAAAATCTTTAAGCGATCCATCTCAAATTTTCTTGGAAGGGTTCTAACTTTTTTGCAGCCTTTCAAATTAACAATAACAAGATTCTTATGTTGCCCAAGAGACTGGTGTAACTTCAACCAGTTTAGAACACCATTCTAGAATCAATATCTCAAGATTTGGAATTTTATAAAAATCTGGAGTTTTCATGAGTAATTTTGAATAAGATAAATCAATGGACTTCAACCTTGGCAGAGACTAAAAAGAAAAAAAGAAAGAAAATAATAAGTCCTAAAAAATGACAAACTACTTATAATAATAAATTTGTTAAATTAAGGACAAACAATTTAAATGAAAGGATCATAATTACCCGTGCTCCCCTCCAAAGTTCTTTTAACTTGCTATGTTGCATTTTTAGAACAAGAAGTTCATGGAGTTTTGTTTGATTGGGCAGAGAATCTAAAGGATACCCATCCCATGCTAAGACTTTCAGCCCATTGGGAAGGGACTTAATTCCACGCGAAAGATTCAAATGACAATGAGAAATATGTGAGCGGCTTGAAATGACAAGTAATTTGAGATTGATCATCCTTGAGAAGGCGTCAGGATTCCAAAGTGCATTAAATGTTTCTTCTACTATTATGACTATACGCCGAATTGCTCCTGTCCGCTATAAATAATTAGTCAATCAAGTTAATAATGTACACAATTAATGGAATACAATATTAGATAAAGAATGCTTGAATAGTCACGAAACTTAGGGCTATTACCTTATTTCCTTCTAATACATCATTGGCATCCTTCAAAGACAATATCCTAGAACGCTTGCCAGCATCATTAGGTGATGCTTGAGAGACTATATATTTACTCATATCTCGAAGTATATGGTGCACCCACAAATACCCTTCTGAATTGATTACCAGTGATTTGTCAATAAGAACCTCTATTCCAATTGTTGGGTGAAGATCCTCATCCAAAATTTCTAAAATTTGTATGACAGGGCCTTTGGCCATCCCATTGAAAAAGCAAACAATATCCAAGAATATAGTCTTTTCCCTATGATCTAATTCATCAAAAGTCACCTTAAGTATCTTCAAAATGCTATTTGGAGGAACCTTCTTCAACTTAGCAAGCGCATCCTTCCATTTCTCTATAGTTCTTCCACAAAAAAAAGAACCCAAAACTTTGAGTGCCAAAGGAAGGCCACTAGCATTTTGAATCACAGTTCTAGAAAGCCCCAAAAAAGCTTTACTCGGCTTACTTCCTTTAAAAGCATTTTGATGGAAAAGTTCAAGAGATTCATCATCGGTCAAGAATTTGATGTCATAAGAAGTAGATAAACCATGTGATAATAACAAATACTTGTCTCCAGTTGTTATTATTATTAAGGTCCCTTTGCCAAACCATCTTTGATTTCTAGCCAAATTTTCAAGTTGGCTTATATCACTCACATCATCAAGGACAAGAAGAATTTTCCTATTGCTTAACATGCTTTTTATCAACTTTCTTCCTTCATAATAGTCATCCACATCCATGCTTCATTTATACAAAGAACAAAGAAGTTTTTTTTTTTTTTTTGCAAGGGAATCAAACCTTCTGCTTCATATACCTGTCTAACATTAAGAAGAAAGCAATGAACTTCAAATTATTTACACATTCTCTCACAGAAAGCTCTTGCAGGAGTAGTTTTACCTAAACCACTTATGCCCCATATTCCTATAAATTGAACTTCACCCAATCCATTAACTATAAGTGAGTTTAAGTTGACAAGTTTTGATTCAATTCCAACTAATTTCTCAGAGTCAAATGGAAGTTCATGATATATTTTTGACCACACTTTTTCAATAATGGTTTCAATGAGTTTTGTTTCATGACTGCAAAGAAATATAAAGTAATATCATTAACATTAAGTCAATTTAATTTATATATAGATTAAAATGGTCAACATAACATAAAGAAAACATGGTCACACGGGTATAATTAATTTTAGTTCAACTATGTAACATAAGTTAACCTTGACATACGTTTGTCATAGTTTTTAAAATTATTGTAATGCAATATTAAATAGTCAGGTTTGTGATTGAAAAAGAATAAATTACATTCATGTCAGCCTTATTTTTAAACTTACAATTATTTTTCCTCTTATTTGTTTTATGATAGGACTAATCAATTATGAAATCTACACTCAAACTTGGGTTCCTAATTGTTTTTGGTGAATGTTACTAAAATTACCACCCCATAATTTCCTTAAAAACTAGATTACGTATATTGATTTGCCAGGAGTTTGAGGTGAGTCAATTTAATCATGGTTCATAGATAATTTAACTTTTCATAGATTTTGTATTTGAATTGTATATTAGGGAAAACCGTTTTTTTTTTTATCTCTAGAGTTTTGGTCAATATTGGTCAAGGTTACTATAGTTATTATTATTATTATTATCATCATCATCATCAAGAAAGCAATGTATAAATTTATGGTGAATTTTGGTCAAAATCTCTATTGTCATCAAACATCGTTGGCAAACAAGTGATATATATATATATGTATGATCTCCCAAGACACTGACCAAAGTTAACCATAACTTTAAGGACTTATTTCTTAATTAATAAAAAAACTTTAGGATCTTAACGAAAGACCAGAACTCTAGAAACAAAAAACTATGTTGTCCCTATATATATAATTATATTATAATAGCTAACAACAATTTTTAAATAGTTTAAAGTAATTAATATTATTTAAAAATTATTCATGATGATTATTGGAAATATAAGAAATTACCAATTGTTAGAGTACCAGCTAGATAAGTTAGCAACTTCTTTTAAAGCATCCCTCCAATTTTGCACCTTCTTTTGATCTCGTGTAAATATTTCTTGATGCTTTTTAAATGCTTCTGCAAAACTTCCTCTCTGATGTTCAACATCAGATGGATCCACACCATAAAATATTGGAAATACATAAAGACCTGACTCTTTCTTAGAATGGAGAATCTTTGAGAGCTCATCCAGGCACCAAGTTGAAGAAGCATAATTTGGAGAGAGAACAACAATTGCAGAAAGAGATTCTTCAATTGCTCGGAGCAGACTTGGTTTAATAACTTGTTTCCTCTCAAGTTCTTCGTCATCCTTGAAAGCTATGGTTTCATTGCGTTGTAAAGCACAATGCAAGTGATTTGTCAAACTTATACGAGTGTCTTCTCGAAAACTCAAGAAGACATGATACTTCCATCTCCTAGCCGAACCAAAAGTGCTTGAAGGGTGGTCAACTCCATGAGCTTCAAGTGCCATAACAACAGTTTTGAGAGCTGAATCATGCAAATTACAAATACATCCATCACCATCAGGATGTGAATAATAGAATGAAACTTAACAAATAATGTAGCAATTAATCAGAAGTAGAATAGTGAAGTAATTTATGTACAACGATCTTTTGTTTCTGATGGTATTTCAAAACAAGGCTATCAGATAGATTACTTCACACATGTCAATACTTCATACAGCGATATTGTCTAGGCTATTAGATAGGGAAGAAATGAAGAAATCATATTGGGAAGTGAAGAATGACATGTTTTACACAAATTTATCAAACAAAAACAAAAGCTACGTTGTTCAGAGTTCACCGCAGTCTAGACCAGACTTGGTCCCTCAGCTGATGGACTAGTTTATCAGATCAAAACATATAAGTGTCCGATGTATTAAAAAATAAAAGAAGTCTCACATCTAAAGATTGAAAGATAGATAATAAATATATAAGTTTAGGAAGTATCTAACTAAACGGCTTAAGCTATTTTGGTGGAGTACACTATCTTTAAACATAATATAAGAAATTTAATTTAGTATTATGAGCCCCTCGATTAGGGACAAAAAAACAAAAAAAGAAAGAGGGAAAGAAAGGAAAAAAAAAGAAAGAATGAAAGGTGAAAAAAACAAGAGATTAAAAAAAGGAAAGAGAGGAGAAGAAGAAGAAATTGAATAGACTTGAGGCCTCTGAGACTAAAAAAGTACAAGCTTAGGCAAGAATAAGAAGAAATGAAAAAAAATGAGAATAAAAAAGTAGTTGAGAGAATATTAGAAGATAAAAGAAATCTCACATCTAAAGATTAAAAAATAGATATAAATATATAAGTTTAGGAAGTATCTAATCAAATAACTTAAACTATTTTGATGGAATATATTATCCTTAAGCATACTTAATATAAGAAATCTAACATGACTCACCAAGGTGAGTGACAAATGTACTTTGTCACCCATCTAGACAATATAAATTTAGTTTGAATGGTCCAATTTATTAATAGCTCAAGTTTTAGAATTTTTATAAATTGACTATCTAGACATATTTTGAATAGATGGTCCAAATTTAAAATTTTGTAACATGAAATTTTTTTCTTAAAATATTTCTTAAAGTAACCATTTGGAGATTATCTTTATTTTTAATATTATATTAACCAAATTAAACATTTATAAAAATTCAAAAAAATTAACAAAATCTAGAAGGTCCAAAATACAGATAAACAGTCAATATATAAAAAAAATATGATCACTTTTAATATAAATTGGATCATCAAAATTACATATGTACTATCTAGATTAATATATTTATTAAAATCTTTCTAATTTTTTTTTTATAAATATAAAATAAAAATTTTAAATTTAAACCATCCATATTAAAATATAGATGGCTTAGATCTCGTCACCATGATGAGCACTAACATGTAGATAGCATATGAACTTCAATCACATTCAAATTCATGATCACAAAGCAAAATTTCAAAGATAGTAAAGAGGGATCTAGAAGAATTAGCAAGCATAACCGAATGAAGTGGTATGTCTATATTCCTTAGCGTCTATTAATATTTCATAGCAAAAGTTTTATACGAAACTTATGCTCTTGGAGGATTCAAAGAAAGTATAATCAGAAAATTAATGCTTGAAGAAATAAATCCATTTCACTGAATAATAGAAACTTAAAGAGGCAAGATTCACTCTTCAGGCAGATATCAAAGTGAAGTGGCAGAAATTGTGTTTATATATATATATAGTCTCTCCCTTCTTTCGATATTTCAAATGAAAATTTTACAGATAGAAAATGGACATAAAATAATTAGAAGGAAGAAAATAGGAACCTGATGAATGAAATTGCAGTGAGAATTTATTTGATGTGCCTCCTGATTCAGAAGATAAAACCCAGTTAGGTACTACAAATTTATAGATTTGAGAAATGGAGCATTTGGAGTCAGCCCAAATATACTCTTCACGCGTTCAAACTGGGTTGCTGCTGTTGGGCCAAAAAAAAAAATGGAAATTTTTCAATTTCCAAGACTTATTTATTTATAATTATATATGTTATTAGCTGCGATATTATTCATTTGGACCAACTTTGCGATCGGAAGGCAGCGCGTTTTCAACATAAACGTAGAAAGAAAAGATGACTTACTTTTTTTTTTTTACAAGCTAATTATGTTTTATCATTTTTATTTATTCATATATAAACAAAGAATGGCTAATATTGTTGGCAAAAAAGAAAAAGAAAAATAAAAGAAACGGATAGCATTAAAATTGGACAATTTTCAATTTTCACCCTGAAGAAAAAGAAATGCATGATAAAATAAAATGATATCTGCCAATATAAATCAGAGAAATTGTGCATTAAAGTATGAGAACAAAAAATGGCATGAGAAAAATGAATCTTGTTCGGGATAGATGGCAGAAATTTTGTTCTCTCTCCTACTGCAAACTTCTACGTATTTAAAATCAGAGAAATTGACTTGTACCAAAAAAAAAAAAAAAAAGAACAGAGGAATGGACTTATGGACGAGACTCCCAAAAAACAAAGGGAAGGGGTCTCTTCAAATTTTTTTTAATCATCCTTGCCTTATTTTTAAATCCTGATTATTTATATCATTATATTAAAGGAATTATTATTTAATTAATTTAAAAATAAATTTTATGCTATAAGTTTTATCTTTTAGAAAACTAAGATAAGATTCTGATTGGACATATAACGTGTGAGAAAAGGACCAAAGGGCTTGGAATAAAATCTCTCACTTTTTGTGGTTATAAAAACTTTAGATGTGTTTGGTCCCCCACTTTGAATGTGGACTCAGGCAACATACACATCTAGCTTAGAAAATTGGTGCCAATAGTGTTTTTTTTTTTTTTTGGTAAATCAAACTTGTTTAATTTGACCGAGTATTTGTGAAGCTTATTTTATTTTGAAAAAATTATATTTATTGATGCTTGTAGTTTTATTGACCTTTGTTATTAGTTACTTTTTTTGATGTTTTAGGTTCGTTTAGTTTTTTTTGTATGTAATGTTATTTCCTATATTCTTAAATATTTCTAGAGAGATAATAAAGTGAAGTCAGGGTTTAATAATATGGGCAGTTGAGATTAAAATCACATACTACAAAGTTTTGATAAATTTTGGGAGATTGAAAGTATATATAACGGCTATATAATACTAAAAAAAATTTAAAATATGGGGGCTGTGACCCTTGCTAGTCCCTCTCCCTCCGCCCTTGATGATGGCACTAATTAG